ACGATCTCGATATCCGCAATTTCGAAGCGAAGAATTACGAAAAACCTGTATGGAAGCCGGCGTAGACGTTCACGGTCCAGGATCGAGGATCGATTATTATTATACCCGAGGAGGACTGTGCGAGGATTTCGTGCGCGTTTATGGCGGTCAACGGTGTGTACGCGACGGCCGGCCGGCTTACGTTCTTAGCGTGGCGTAATTGCATGATGATACGTTTCGGCCATGTTGGGCCCTCTAACGACGCACGCGACCCTACACGCTGCCCTTTTTCCTCTCGAAAACCGCACCGATGTCTTATTTCTCGGCCGCCGTGGAAATGGAAGCCAGACAGGGCCGGCCGAATTGGCACCAATGACCAAGGAATCGCTACTTAATCCCTATTGGACGGCGCATACCTTTCCTAGTAGCTTCTTTCTTTTTCTTTTTCTTTTTTTATTCCTTCTTCTATAATAATCTGAAACTCGTTCTTCTTATTATTATTATTATACTAGAGAGATGTTAATAACAACTCGTGACGCTTCTACGCGGCTTCTGTTTTTCCTTCGTGGCCAATTCTATTCGGCCAGGTTTAAAACTTTCAAACTTCGTCAACGAATCACTTATGGCTGGATCTCCTCACCTGGATGGAAATTTAATGGATCGATTTGTAATTCGAGCTTTTGAAATTAACGTAAAAGGAGCGAGAAAGGAAAATTTCTCGAAACTGTCGAAAAGAAGAAAAGAAAGAAAAGAGACGGTTATTCACGAGAGTTGCCACCGTGTACAGCTGAATCGTCCACTTATTACGGAGTACAGATTATCAATAATGAGCGGATCGATCGATATCCATTCTCGATCAATCTCACTCTTGTATCGAAGAAGAGAGACAGAGAGAGTGAATTAATGGATAAATAGCATCTAATTACGCTGATTAATGCGCGATCTTTTTCTTCCTTTTTTTCCTCTTCTCTTTTCTCTTTCTCTTTCTACCTTCTCTCGTCAACGACGAGACGGCCGATTCGCGAACATTATCGTCGATTGGTAAATCTTAATTGGACAAGGAGGATACCAAAAGGAGAGCCTCGACGACCCAAGTTGCAATAAATAAATAGCAGCTGGACAACGTCCGTGTGTTCTTTTCTTATGAAAAGAAATTTATATTCGTGACACGTTTCGCTGCGAGCACGCTTTTAATCTTTGGACGATCGCCGAGAATTATCCTATACCGATTTCATTTTCCATTGTTCGGATTCTTTGTTCTTTCGCTGAATAAGATTCGATTGTGCTCGGTTGATGGATTGCCGCATTCATCGATCGAATGTGTAAGAAGGGTAAGAATTATGTTGTATTATGCCCGGTTATTTATGCACGATTGAATTTAGGAATAGAAATTTATTGATATATATTTTCTGATATTATTCGTGTAATTAATATATTCTTCGTAACGATGTATGTTTTACGTTTAATGCGCGTCACAATGAATCATAAATTAATGGGTGGAAAAAAAAATAAACAAATATCATCGAGATTTGTGAGATCGACAAATTAAATCAACTTCTCCTTTTCATTAATTAAATATCGTTCATTGTTCGGTTCATTGCTTCGCGAGATTGAACGAAAATCGCGAGGCAGAAATAACGAGATCATCGTCGATCAAAACGATAAAAAGGATAAATCGTGAAACTATTTGTATTATTTAAACTCTTACTTTATAACACTGTCCATTAATAACACGAAAATAAGCTTGTTCGTACGCTCGTAATCTCTCACAGATTCGCGAGATGTTTATCCTGAATGATGAAAAGGAAGGAATGCCTCTAGAAATTGCTCGTTTCTCGCAAACGATCGTACAGAATAAGAAGCAATCGTTTCGAGATTTATTAACGAAACGCGCTGATTATCCAAGGTGTCTCCTCTATCTATTCTTGTTCCTAACACGCATATAATAAAACCGTGTTACACGGTAATTCATATGCATCTTTTTTCTCTCATCTCAGATAATACTAAAAATCATCGTAATCCTCATTGAACGAAGACATTTCAATCTTTTAACGATCACCCCTCTCGGTATCGGAATTGCCTCTCTTCGCGAGATGACAATTAGCTTAAACGTGGACTCAATCAATGGTCGAAACAAAGGAGGAAGGGAAAAAAAAAAAGAAGAAGAAAGAAGAAGATAAAAATGATAAAAAAAAAAAAAAAAAAGAAAGGAAGAAAGAAGAAAAGAAAGATGCGATGAATGGCACTAAGAGCTCGAAGAGCTAAGAGTAATAAATTACCCTTGCATTAAAACGATGTTGGCGCCAAAGGATAATTTGTATTCATAATCCGTCATAACACGGCGAAACTCGTCATTATAAAGCGGCTCCTCGAGTTTCCTGTGACAAACACACGGCATTACGGCTGCTTAGATCTTTTAAGTACACCCTCCGAGTAGGGGATACGCCAATTTTCCAGGACCAGTTACGCCAACGTGTAACTAGGAAATTATTACACGTGAATACGTGTGCACACACAGTGTGTATGGTTAACATTGTAGGGGATCGAGGATCGAGGATTCGTCCATGCAGATTTCCGCTTAAATCGCTTTCGCCGATTCTTTTATTTTTCATCCGTGGAAATACGTAAGGACGCGTTTCGAATGTGAAATTACACGTGGTTAAGGTTCCGTGGAGGGAATGAATTTCTTTTTTATATTTCTGAAAGGGGAAAGTGACGAATCGAGGATGAATCTCGGGGTTATTTTACTTGGTGTATGTACATATATTATGGAAATTCAATGTAAAGGAAAGATTGCTTCGAAATATTTCTTCTCCTTTCTTCCTTTTAATCTAAAAAAATTTAGATCATGATTTCTTCGACTTCCTTTACCACCCCCTAGAAGGAAAAATTATTGCAATTCATGAAGAACAAACAGCATTTTTATTTATCTAAAAATCGACTAAGATTGAGAAACGCTGTTTCGAAGAGGATCCGAGAAACATCTCAATCCATCCTATGAAAATAATTAAACCGATCAGGATGGATCAGCTGGAATCAAAGGCAACCATCGATCCAAGCATCGAACCAATAAAAGTCGGTCGACAGTAATGGCGTCTGGTATCCTCTCAATTACGTGTTTTCTTTCGACGAATGGCCGCAGACTGCATTCTCAGATTAAATTGAGAGATACCATTTACGGAAGCGACGATTACGGGACGATCGGTCGATCATTGTGTCCAACGATGTCACGCTTCAACCGCTCGAATTAACCGAATCATTATCGTCGTGTCAGGTTCATTAATGCGGCCGGTTACATTATCGGGCCGTGCGCGAGGCATCGTCATCTTCCTCATCTTCGTTCGCGAAAGAAGGGAGGGGAGGCGGAGGAGGGGGAGGAGGAGGAGAAATTCTGATTCGGGACGAGAATAGATCGAGGGGACGATCAGAGGTGGACGCGAAAATTGTTTAACTCGTCCTCTCATAAATTATTTAACGCGCTACCTGCGCCATCTATCAACTTTGATACCCGTTTCCGATAATAATACCGTGCCGCGTACGCGATGGAAGAAAAATTACCCTCGTCAGCCTTTCCGCCGATGAACGCGCGTGAACGTGCTCCTGAATTCGTTTCGCGAATGTAAAGTGATAAAGATGTGTGCGCGTGTGTGTGTATGTGTGTGTGCGTGTGTGTGAAGGTTGGATTTTTTAGTTGAATATCGCGTTTGTAGGAAAATTGAATTTATGGAGATTAAGATTAACACTTTGTAAAGATGGATTTTTTTTATTAAGAAGAGATAATTAGGGGGTCGGTTTCGATTGAATCTTTTTTGAAGAAATCGAATTTCTTGAAGTTACGAGGTGGAAGATGAAACTTTAATAATTCTAATAAATTCTATTAGAATTTTTTCTTGTTGGGCTTTGGTTAATTTTTTTTTTTTTTTTTTTTTTTTGAGTAAGAAATACTCCCTTCGAGGGATAGTAATGAATCGACGAAGATCTATTAATATCCATCTCTTGCAAACTTTTCTTAAAATTTTCTATTCCTAGCAATTCTTCTGACTCGATAAAAATTTTATCGAAGATTTTGAAGAAATTTTGAAATGCAATTTAATAAAATTACGTTACTCGAATCGAACAAAATTTTCACCATTTCTACTCAAGTTCTCGATAATTTCGCCCACGCAAAGTGTCGGACAGTGAAGCCACGTGAATGTAAACGGAACATATCGACTCGATTTCCCTTCCAATCATCCCGATCTCGAGGAACGTTTCGTCTCGTGCTATTTCATTTCCTGATCCAGATAACGGCGGCCTTATTGCCGAGTCAATCATAATTGCCGATCTTTTTTCAATTCCTCCTCTCCTGCATTAGCATACGTATCAGCTCTTGTACGCTCGGGAAACGGAGATGTCTGCCAAAACAATCGTGGATCCGCAGATTCTCGGTCCGGATAAGGGTTGGAGGGTGGACGAGGGCCCTCGTAAAATCACTGAAATTCCATGTTTATTCAATATGCCCGGGATTCTGTTTTCGAGACTTATCTGAGAGACGATTGGCCGGGATGATACGATGCCTCGAACCAATTTCGCGACGATAAGGCTTCAATCTTCGCTTTCCTCCCCCTTTTATGCGGAAACCGAGATCTCTCTCCATGCGATCACTGCAACTTTTCTAAGAAACATTGAATCGAATCGAGAGGTTTAACGGATCCATCCGATTTCTTTCTCGTATTCTTCGATAAAATATCGATAAACGTTTCTCTTAGGATAATTAAGAAAAGTTAGCGGATCCAGATTTCTTCCTTCTAAACGTTTCTCTTAGGGTTAATTAAGAAAACTTTTTTCTTTGATGTATAGGAAAATTATTTTTTGAATAATCGTTGGTCAAAAATTGATTTTGGCAAAAGTATGAAGATAGATTCTTCCGTCCACTATATTTTTCCACTTAGAAGAAAATCGTTCAGAAGAAAAAAAAATTTGTGACGCATTTTTTCATTAAAATCTTCAAGATACTAACATAGATATATTTGTAATTTCAGGTTGCGATGGCGAATCGGACGAAGGTGGAAGCAAGAGGCGAAGGAGCAGGACCAACTTCAATAGCTGGCAATTGGAGGAATTGGAACGGGCATTTCTCTCGAGTCATTATCCCGATGTGTTTATGCGAGAAGCTCTGGCTGTGAGACTCGAGTTGAAAGAGAGCC